CAGTACAAGGCTTTTCATGTGACAGTGAGTGACTGCACATGGGCAAATTAGTCTGGCCCTATTGCTGAATGAGAGCTAGTTTCTATGTAAAAAAAAAAACAACCAAGCAAACAAACAAACAGAAAAACCTCTAATGAGCAAGACAAAAACTTTAAAAAAAAAAACTAAAAAATCAGAAATTCAAGAAGTAATTTTTAACCTTTTTAATAAGTAGTGATATCTACAAATTCAGAAAATGTTCAAAAGCTACAGTCTCTCTCTGATCTTGCTGCAAACCTTCAGATTTTTGATTTTTTATTTTATTTTGGAGGACTGGTTGTGTGTACTCCGAATTTACACATTTGTGGCCTGAGGAACTCATTCAATATGTAAGTCTCATGCAATCAACTTTCTGCTTAGTGGCATAGCAGAATAGAGACAAGTTTATTAATGAAGAAATATAGCTCAGTAATCACATTCAGCCAGTTTGTATCACACTTGTATGATAGTATTCAGTGCAATGATAATACCCAGCCTTTTCCAAATCTACATCCACTGAATTCTAAGCAGAGGAAAATTGCACGTTGTGTCTTTGCAATTGTATAGATGTAAGACATGATGACTTGCCAAAGACATCACAACATACCACTCAGTGAGAAGATTGGAATTTATTAGTTCCCAGTTTGCAGTTACATTTCAGAAAACAATATTTTATTTTATTTTAAAACTTGGCCTAACCCACTATGTGAAAGATATAATAAGACAGTTACAATCTGGTAAAAGGGTACAAGTTATCAAGATACAAAAATAGTCATGTGAACCAGTGGGCAGCATAGCAGCAAGTGATGATTTGTGTAGGCAAGGAAGGACTCTAGAGGAATCCCTGCAGATCACCCTGCTCTAAGGGAAGATTTGCAGGTCCCACATGATCAAGTATCATGGTTGAAAGCTGTATGTATACTTATTTTTCTTCTATTTCCTTTTTAGTCATGTTTATAACAAGGCTTTGAGAAACTGCCTTAGGATGTGAAACTTCCTTGAAAACACGAACATGTTCTACCTACCTACCTGCCTGCTGGGCTTGGCAGATAACACTGGCAATCTAAGTGGGTCATTGACTTTGTTAGAAGTATTTGCTTCTCCATCAGACCTAGGAATTTAGTAATTTTTTGCATCCCTCCACCTGGAAGGCTGAAGATATTTAATCAGTACTTTTTCCTCTGAAATGAATGGAAAGAATCTTATTTGTGTGTGAGAGATTTTGATTCCATCTGCCTTGGCCTTCTACAATTTCATTTTGAAGAGTCAATATTACAAATACATGGCATGCTTGTAAGTGTGTAGGTATCGCCTGTGCATAAGTGCTATAATTGCTTTACAATGTACAATAAAAAGAAGTCCCATATTTAAGCACACAACATTTCCCCTCTCTCAGCCCTCAGCATTTCTAGATGTTGTTCATGGCTCTGAATTCACTCCTTTAACACATCTTTAAGAATTCATTTAGAAAGAGGTTGAGGAAGGTGTCTGATAATTATCACTGCTTCTCACAAAATCATTGCATTTCCCATGAAGAATCTGTTGAATCTGAAGTTGGAACTGGCGTCATCACAGTGTATGATAACTCGATGATTAAGAGAGCAATTCAAACTGCCCATACAAGATGACATTTCACCAACCACAAAATATTCTCTTTTTGCTAATTACAACTAGCAGGTTCTTAGCAAGCCAGTGTTTTTAATTAGAGCTTATACAATAAGAATTTGTTTTGATTAAAAAAAAAAAAAGTTTAGAAGTTAGGCAGTGCCCTCTCCTGGACAGAGGTTCCCAAAGCAGAAGTTTACAAAGCGTCCCAGATGTTGCCTATTAGCAAAAATGGGCACAAACCAGCATGTTAATCTGCTGTATGCATTTGTTTGCTGCAAGAAAGTACATGTTGTACTTCCTCACATTTCAGTCTACTTAAAAGGAGTCTGTGCAACAAAAACTATTTCTAGTTAAAATAGCAAAGACCTTTGGGTTAATTTAGTTTGAACTCATCAAGCTAGAGTTGACAGTGCAAATTTATCATAAGAAACAGCAGTAATATTTAGCGATGTTTATTCCAGTTTTTACAAAAATCAACTCAAATTTTCAGAAATAAGGATGATGGAGAAATACTTAATTGAAGCTCACTTTTTAGGTGTCATTTAACATGTCTTTATGGTTCTCTTTCAAGGTCAAAGCAATGGAGCTATGCTGAAAAGCTCCAAAGTGTCTTTTCCTATTTATCCTTTCTTGACTGTTTTAATAAATGAATGAATTTAAGTTTCATCTAACGACTCCAATCTCATGACTCTTGACTTCAGTCTGTTAAAATTAAATAAATAATAATAACAAACTTAACAAAGATCCAGATTAAGCAGAACATTCTTAAGATTTTACAGCATCTCACCACAAAGATGATAGATATGGATTTCCCCAGTAGTTCATTTAAAACTTGCATTTAAATCCCTTCAGAGGTGAACTATTAAACTGTAATAATCCAGCATTTACAGGAAAATTTAAATTAATGGCATAAAAAGCATACCCACTCAATACTCACTTAGTCATACCCACTCAATGAGCATTTACAGTTCTCAGCACATTCCTATGATTTTTTCAGCATGGAAAACACAGAGGAAAATAGTTGTTTGGTGTAAATTGCAAATGATACCTACAAAACGGCTGGCAGGTTGTTTTGTACACTAGCTTAAACACAAAACAAAGTAGCTATTGTATTTATTTACTTTAATTTTAACCACTTTCTAAAAATCTGCAGACTTCTCATAAATAGACTGCCCATATAGAACAGCCAAACTACATTCTAAACTGTTTTTCTTCTGACTGTTCACTTCAAAGGTGTGCTTCTACTGAGAAATGAAGCCTTAGCATACATGTGGGAATGGCCCTGGAGTAGGGATCAAGATCTGCATATAATATTGCTCTTCAGGAAATCTTTATTCATTACATACATGCACCTACAGCTGTAAGCATCTCTGCTCTAGCAAGTAAGCTCCCCTGCCTTCTGCTAAGAGCTGTAAGCTCAAGAGTACAGACCTCCTCATTAATGGTCACAGCTGGTCATTAGATGATCACTGAATCTTTCTTGATGACCTACTAATGAACTTCCCACTGGCTTTGTGTGAAGATTGGTCAAAGTAGACTGTATAGGTAATTTATAGCTGAACACCTGGCACGTTAATGGCCTTTGCTCAGCAACTGTAATTTACACAGTGCTATTAAGAGGCAGTACATCCTTCCCAATCTATTTCTCAGGTGAAATATTTCATGTTGAAAGGAAACTTTGGATTTTGTGTTTAAAAAGGTGTTCAAATATTTTATTTAGGGGGAAAAGTTCTTTAAGAATTTAAGAAAGTCTATTATCTTACAGAGGTTGTTTGGTTGTTTTTATTGTTTTGTTGTTTTGTTTTGTTTTGTTTTGTTTTACATTTCTCCCCTCAATATATATATATGCTTTTTAAGAGAAAGAAAAAAAAAAATGCAACATATGTATGTTAGTATTTGCCTGTTAGTCTTAGAGGCCTCCACAGTGTATAAAGCAGCTTACTGGGTGCCTATTAGCTGCAAGAGCCCAGAGAGATTTGATGGTTCAGAACCCATGGTGCCTAATCTCTGTGAATGCTGGATAAATTGTCCAGAAGCCACAGTTCCAACAGCTGTCATCTTACCAGCTCCTAAGAGCCAAAAATTTTCAGCCATACCCTGATTTGGTAGGAAAGCTGCAGAAAAAAACCCAAGAAGTGGCAGTGATGAGTTAGCGCTCTTCCTTCTGACAGTGATGTCAGCATAGGGGTTATCCATTTATCACAGAACCTTGCTATGAGCTGTGATTACTAGGCATTTCACAGCCTTGAACATATGCTAGACTGGATGACTGTAGCCAATGTATTCATAATCCCTCATGGTTTTGTTTTTTCATTTCCACATATCTGTGTGTTACAGTTAGTTTATATATATTGTGCATTCGCTCTGAGAAAGCAAGTTTGCATCTACTCAAATGTCCTGGGAACAGTCAGGAAGTTTATCACATCCCATTTTTCATGCCCTTGACTCTCATTAATTGGTGTCATAATGACCATCTCATTCCCTGCAAATGGCTTCAGAATCGCCAAAATCTCTCCAGTGAGATCCATCTTTCAGATGGCACTTTCTGAGCTCTCCCTGTATAGTGATCAAGGAGATTGGTTTCTAGGAAGGTGTACTGACCATTCAGGAGGTGATGTTGTAAGAAGATGATTTTGCAAAGAACAGTCCTGTGCACTACTCCAAGGAGCAGAGAAAATATATTTAAAAGAGTTTTTGCCCTCTCTTCAAAGATCTTTAGCTTATTTTCTCTTTGCTCTGAATGACATGAAATTGTCTCCTTAACCAGAGATGCGGGTTCAAACTTTTTGATTATGAGTGAGACCTTCTCCTGTTTTCAAGTACTGGTATACTCCTGTCTCCTTAGTAGGCATTGCTGACAAATGACATATTGTTGTATCAACTGTAGGTAAGCTTTATTAAAATGATTAAAAGCAGCTCAATTTCTAATGCGATTCTGCACCGTTTGTGGTGTGGAAATGAGAATTCAAGCCTGTTAGAGGAGTCAGATTCTTTCATTGAAAATCATAAATCATTTCAGATAAGACATATTTAATAATTACTCATCTTCCTGTTATACAGCATCCTGAATTTGTTTCCATATTAAAAAAAAAAAAAAAAAAAAAAAAAGTTCAAAAATTTTAAGAGATTTGAGAAAGCATACAAAGTTGAATCCTGTTCTTATGCAACATTTAAACTCAATTTTATTGTCTTTATTTTCAGGAAATACAATGAAAGCCATCTGCAAGTAAAGTAGATATGTTTGGACATTTCCAGCAATGATTGGAAGTTGAGGGTGTTTACAGATGTACATTGTTTAAAACAGCTACTGATTCAAACATGAATCTTTTTTGTAAATTCTGAAATAACATATTTTCCTTCTTTCTTTTTAACAGGGGGTTCTGCTAATCTAACCTGCCGAGCTTTCTTTGGATATAGTGGAGATGTCAGTCCTTTAATCTACTGGATGAAAGGGGAGAAGTTTATTGAAGATTTGGACGATAGTCGAGTCTGGGAAAGTGATATCAGGTAAAAAAAAATATATATATACATATATATAGTCTCTTAGTCAATATCTTTTTTGACAGTTAATGTAGTAATTACTATAGATTAATTCAGGAACATTTGGGGTTCGGTCCCTTTTTTACAATGTTCACTTAAATTTTTTCAATTTCATTTGTAGAGAATGGAAAAATATAGCAAGACCTGATGCAAAGAGAGCTGCAAAAGCTCATTTAGTGTCATAATGACTTTTCCAAACTGTGGAAAACTACCGAAACCAGTAGCACTAAGTTACTAAACATTAGCACTGGTTACTGAAAAAAAATAAAGTAAATATACCAAGAAAAGTAGGTCAAAATAAGTATTTTAAAATTCAAGTTCTTAAATAAATGCTGAAGTCTGACTTCTCTTTCTGAATATTTTGACTGTTCTTCTTCAAAGAAAGAACTGAGTTTCCTGGGATGTTATTTGGCCTGTGAGATCTAAACCTCCTGTTATGTGGGCTGGTTATAGCTGCTGAAATATTTGTTATAGAAAGAATCTGGTGATTCACGTCATGTACTTTTCCTGTTTCTAAAAGTGTTATCTCATTTGGATACTGAGAAAAAAAAATGGGTTTGTACAGTGAATAACATACTTGACATAGCTTCCCAACTCCAGTATAATGTAATTACTTGGATCTAAAGAGATTCTGTTTTCATTTATAATTGTGTGTGTGTATATGACTGTCTTTGTACATCATGGATAAACACAGAAATGTTGGAAAATCTAATTGTGTACTATCAAGGAAGTTAAATAATCACAGGTGTATTATATTCACAATAATTGTCTATAATAGAACTATGAGCTTATTTTTACCTGAACTCATACATGAGAGTTTATTACTTCATAGTATACACATAGCCACATAGATGTTCAGGGTCTTTTGTTTTTGTATACTGAGATATATTTCATCAGTGTACGTCAATTTTATTCTATAAATTTCAAGATCAATGCACTAAATAGCACAAGACAACTAGATTAGCTGCATTTCTTATGTAAAAATATTCATAAGCCTTTCAAGCAGATGTGGCATTTTGAAAGCTAACAAAAAAAGACAAAAAACCTTATTACCACTTTTTTCTTTTGTGGACTGAGGACCCAGAAGACTGGCTTCCACATATTTTGTCAGGTGTGAAGTAAGGGAGAAGTGTGTAGAAGTTTCTCATTTGCTTTTCCAGATTTCTAAAGCCGCTGTTAGGCTTGATAAGGGGGAAAGCAACAGGAAGACAAGTAGAAAGTTATGCTGGTCTTTGCTTTTCATTGTTGTCTGTATGAATGAGTGGCATCTGGCATTCTAGCTTATTTTACTGACTTACTTACAATACTAAATTTTATAATACATTGAAGTAATATACTTTTCAGTATACAAACTGTGTGTTGGTCAAGACTACTAGCATCACTCTAAACCTGAAAATAACTGTATTCACTTTTTCTGTTCTAACATTTCAAGACTCTACAAACTACTGATCAGGGTCTCCATCAGAGTGTGCAATAATGTGTTATCAGTGTGTGCATCATCGTGTTTAAATACAATTAACTGAAACTCTCATTAATATCTACAAAACTAAACCTCTTCATTAGAAGTGAATGAGAAAAAGGCATGATATAATTTAATTAGGATTTCATAAAACCATAGCTAAATTTGAAGCCTGAGAGCTGAGAATTCTAAGTAGCACTATTATGTCATTGTTATCTATTCCTATACTGTGACACAAGCAGAAGAGCAGACATGATTTTTTTTTATTAGGGTTCTCAAGGAACATCTTGGGGAACAGGAAGTTTCTATCTCATTGATTCTCAATTCTGTGGAGGAAGGAGACCTCGGCAATTACTCATGCTATGTTGAGAATGGAAACGGACGCCGGCACGCCAGTATTCTCCTACATAAAAGGGGTAAATATAAATCTTCTTCCCATTAAATGATACATTGTAGGGGGAACCTGACTGTGTGTGTAAAACTTCCTTTTGACAAAAATGTTAATTTTGTTTTCCTGAGATATTAATAGGTAATGATTGTTTTCCCCAGGCATTCATATAACTTTCAAAATAAAACAGAAAGGTTGCTGTTAATTCGGGCTGTCACTAGCATAAACATAATAGCACCTTTTAATTATATTTCTTTCACGGATGCATTTAATAATTCATGAACTTTAAAACTAATGAAGACTCAGTAGAGAAAAAAAAATAGTAGGAAGTTAAAGTTAATAAAACCAGAATCATTTTCTCTAAAAAATAAAATCAAATATTAAAAAAAAAAAAAAGCCAGCGACAAATAAATTCTATTTCTATCAATGCAGACACATAATAGAATAATATACATAGCAATGTAGTCACCTCATAGAATCCCAGTGTGGTTGAGGTTGGAATGGGCCTCAGGCAACCTAACCCAATCCCTACCCAAGCAGACTGCCCAGGACTATGCCTAAGTGTCTTCTGAAGATCTCCAGGAGGCACAGCCTGCCTGGGCAGCCTGTGTCAGGGCTCTGTTACCTGCACAGTAAACTTTCTGAAGTTCAGACAGAGTGTCCTGCATTCCATTTTGAGCCAATTGCCTCTTGTCCTGTCTCTGGACACCACTGAGAAGAGTCTGGCTCTGTCCTTTTTGCACCTTCCCTATCAGGTATTTATACATATTGCTGGTTCCGCTAAGCCTCATGTCCTCCAGGCTGAACAGTCCCAGCCTTTCCTCACAGGAGGGATGCTCCAGAGACCCTTCGTCATTTCCCTGGCTCTTTGCAGTGGATGCTCCAATATATCTCTTGTACTTTTGATCCTAGAACTGGAACAGTTTCACTGAGTAGAAAGGAAAGATCACTTTGCCCCACCGCTTGACAGTAATTTGTGTAATACAGTCAAGAACACAATTAGCTATCTTTGCTGCAAGGGCGCATTGCTACATCGTGTTCAGCCTGGTGCCCATCAGTACCTCCAAATTCTTTTTTCTTTAGATGTTTTCACACAAGGTGGCCCCCAGCTTGTACCAGTCCCCAGACTTGTTCCTCCAGTTTGCTGTCAACACATTTCTCCAGCCTCTCCTGCTCCCTCTGGATGGAAGCACAACCTTCTGACATATCAGTCACTCCTTCTAGTTTTTTGTCATCTGCAAACTTGCTGTGGAAACACTCTGTCCCCTTCACTTTTATCCTCAGAAAAGATGTCAAACAGGACTGGACCCAGTATTGACCCCTGTGGTATGCCACTAGTTACTGGTCTCTCACTAGACTTCGCACCAATTGACCCCTGTGCTTAGTCAGTTTTCAATCCACTTCGCTGTCTGCAGTCCAGCCTGTCAGAGTACCTAGTAGTCTGACTGTGGATCCTTTCCTTATAACATTTGCATAGCACCAGTGTTTCTGAAGTGAAGACGGAAATACCTAAAGATCTTCCTAATTTTACTCACCGCTCACATTCCATGATGTCAGCCTGATGTCCACAGAGATCTTGTATGAAGATAATTACAGAGAGGTGGAGGGTCTCTCACAAAGCAAGGTTCCTAGATTCTATTTCTTCACTTTACTTCCCATAAGGTGCTTCACATGCCTAGGCTTGATGCATCACACTTCATCCTACTGGTTTAAGACAGCAAGGAGTGTCCATACTTTGCTTTCATTACTGTGCTTTTTTTTAGACTGTACAGGTAAGCACACTAGGTTCATACTATGGTATTGAAATACTTATGGCATCTCAATTTATATCACAGCAATGATGTCTTCTTTACTTCTAACCCTGCAACATGCAAAATCTGTCAGAGTTTAACAGGAAGCCACAACCCACGATGGTGTGATTCGTTTGTTTAAGCAGATGGACTTTTCTGTACCCCCAGTGAACTGAAAAGAAATAATTCATGGCTATTTTTATGAACTTTTCTCAATGATTCTCAGGAGATGTGGGTGTAATTACTAGATGTTCCACTTAGATAGGCATTTGGCATATTTTCTCAGATGGACTGAAATGGAAAATTAACTTAAGTAATTGGAACTTTAAAGTATACAAGTTGGTGGCCACAGACACCTATTTCAGAGCAAAAATCTAAAAGTAAATAAAACAGAAACCCACTCAGATCAAATGTGTTGTCCTTCTTTAATAGCAAAGTGATTACATGAAGTGCTGAAGACAGAATTTTAAGGCTTTAATTACTTTAAAACCAATAATTAACTAACTGACACATATTAAGTCATTTGTTGATGTTTAGTTCCTATTTTCCCTTCCATACAAGCAATAACACCAAGAGTGACATGGCACATAAGCCATTTTTGTTATGTGACCGCCAGCTTTTAAATCTATCTAAATCTAAAGTGTGCATGCATAAATTTTGCAAGGGTCCTACTTTCCTTCATTCCCCTTTCAGAGAAATCAGTATGTGAAACTCATTACAGTATGTGGCCTCATGATGACATACTGAAGAGGAAGTAATCTCAATATTTAATTGCCCTTTTAAATAGTAAAATGTAAAAATAGCAAAAGCTCCTCAAAAAGATTAAGTAAGGCTAAATCTGAAATTGTGATTTAGAATCAAAATCTGTTGTGCCCATAAAAAACAAAAGACACCTGTTATAAGCCTTCAATATAATTTGTATGTTGACAACTGTTTTGGTGAAATGATAAATTAACCATGACAGACAGAAATGCAAGCTCGTCTCTCAGGTTTCCTTGGAAGAGGAGCTTTGTACTGCTTGCTTAGTCTCCTGCATATCACCATGACAACACTTTGTTTTAGGTTTCCTGTTTAGATCCACATTTAGTCTCTGCTAGGAATTATTTAGCTTTTTATTAATTTCTGATTATTTACTCACATAGAACAATGGAGGCCTGAAATAAGGCAAACTGGCTTTCTAAACAGCAAGTTATTAGTTTTACATGGTTTTCTAGTTATAGATCTTGCTTCTTTTTTTTTTTTTTTATTAAACCAGTGTAAGAAAACAGAAATGCTAAATCTCAAATGTTCACTATTTACCTGAAGAAAATTTTATAGTCACTCATATATCATATGTGGCACATTATCACTCAGATCAATAGGAGCAAGAAAGCAGGAAGCAGGAATAATATCCTGGTCTGCATCAAAAGAAGCACAGCCATTAGGTTGAGGGAGGTGATCCTGCCCCTCTACTCTGCACTGGTGAGGTCTCACCTGGAGTACTGCAGCCAGATGTAGAGTCCTCAGTGCAGGAGAGACACAGACTTGGTGGAGCATGTTCAGAGGAGGGCCACAAATTGAACAAAGGGATGGAACAAGTCTCCTATGAGGACAAGCTGAGAGAGCTGAGACTGTTCAGCCCGGAGATGAGAAGGTCCTGAGGAGACCTGAAGCTGCTTTTCAGTATCTAAGGGGGGGCTGTAAGAAAGAAGGGGGCAGACTCTTGAGCAGAGTCTGTTGCAATAGCTCTGAGCAACCTGATCTAGCTGTGGTATCCATGTTTATTGCAGGGAAGTTGGACTGGATGGCTTTTAAGGGTCCCTTCCAACTCAAACAATTCTGTGATTCTCTACAACCTTGAAATTCCAGCTTGAGCTTTTGGATATGCCTACAATTACACATCCTGAAAGGGCAAGTGATTGAAAGTCTAAATCCCTGGGAACGTCCTGCTTGAATCCTTCTTACCATTCATGCCAGTCAGTCCAACAGGGAGCCATTTACCTAACACACAAGCTCATGGTGTTCCCTTCGCACACCAGCACCCAGAGCATGCAGCCAAGTGAGGGGGCTTCTACTTTCTCCCTGATTCAACCCTGGAATAAAAATTCTGAGCCTCTCATGTTCTAAGAGAAAGCTCATAGAGAGGTGCAGGAAAATCTACCCCAGGTTAGGAATCTGGCCCCAGAGGTGATCTGGGCTCTCTGAGCCCAGGTACTGGCACTCTGCATCTCTGGCTGTGTAACCCTGGTTTTCTCCTGATCTTCTATTACATTCTGACTGCCACAGGATAAAACCTATGATCAATGATTTTGTGCAGCTGGCTAATCAGTTTTAGACACTGGACTTTCTTCAAATTCTGTGTATAGGGAGCATTTAACATAGAGCCGGAGGAGAGGAAGCAAAGCATTTTAAGTGTAGTAATGTCAATAGAGAAGGACCAACACCCAAGAGATCTAACTTTCATTCTCTTTCTGCAACTGCTGACCAAATTTCTTTCTATCAACTTTAAAGTAATCAAGTTATTTTCTATTTTTTGTGAGCAGAAAAATCCACTTGTTGAGATCCAAGACTGATTTTATTACTTTGTGATGATAGCTATCATGGAGCATTTACAGGTCAATCTTCAACAAGGTAGAGAAAACTAGCAGAAATTAATTTTGAGAATAATACTGACAGCTTCTAAGTACAAATTTATTAATGACAGACAACATACTGCAAGTGATGTAAGGAGTGAATCATAGGTCTATGTCTCTCCTATAGTGAGGACTCCACCTCTGGAGTACTGTGGAGATGTGTAACCCTCACTACAGGAGAAACATAGACCTGTTGGAGTGCATCCAGAGGGGGATCACACAAATAATCCAATGGATGGAGCACTTCTCATGAGACTGAGAGAACTGGGGCTGTTCAGCCTAGAGCAGAGAAGGCTCCAAGATGATACGGTAGTGGCCTTTCAGTATCTAAATGGAGGCTGCAAGAAAAAGAGAAGGGGACAGACTCTTTAGCAGAGGCTGTCGTGATATGAGAGGGGGAAATGGTTTCAAACTAAAAGAGTGGAGATTTAAGTTGGATACAAGGAAAAAATATTTTACAATGAGGGTGGCAAGACACTGGAATAAATTGCTCAAAGATGTGGTTGATGCCCTGTCCCCAGAGACTTTGAAGGTGAAGCTGAACGAGTCCCTGGGCAACATGATCTAGCTGTGGCGTCCCTGTTCATTGCAGGGGAGCTGGACTAGATGACCTTTAAAGGTCCCTT